AACAACCAGTAAAAGGTCCAGGGGAGAGGTAGAGCAATCATCCACGAAGGGGAAATCCGAGTTTCTCGCATGAGACTCCGATCGGGAAGACCCATAGCTGAAGTGACAGCTGGAACCTGGAGAAAAAGAACAGACAGTGGAACATTTTAGAACAGGTCAAGAGTCTTGGAAATAAAAAAGAAAAAATCTTAGTGAACAATGGATATTAATTTATTATATGTCACGCGACAGTGGAATCAAGCGCTCGTCAGCTTTTTGGCACATAGTGTTATTGACCTCATTTTAAAGCTCAATTTAAACCTGTCAATTTTATGTTCTGCTAACTTACAAATTGAATTTTCTTTTATATTTTAAATACTTCAACTATTTGGACTTTAAGGCCAAGGTCGGCAGATAGAATCGAATATTTCCTTCAATTTTATGATTTTCTGTTTATGCAATAGTATTATTCTATATCCACTTACTCATCTTGGGAAACACATTCTAGATCTAGAGCCTAAAACTGTCTATAAGTCCATGAAAATGCCACCTGTAAACAGACAGGTAATCACATAATTCACAGTTACAAAGGCCGACTTCTCCTCTTCACGGTACTATCTGCCTTGACCTTCTGGGTGGTTATTTTCCACCACAAAATTCCTATTCATAAAGACTGCAATCACGCAGTAAACAAAGCCAGTGTAGTACTACGTTTCCTTATATGGAGTGACCACGCACCGCTCATAGGTCGACCTCCGCCGCCGGCCGCTCACCACTGGTTGTTCTGTAACCAGGAGGGTTCACGGGTTAGTTCCGATGTAAACAGTGCACGCCTTCTTTGTTTTGACTGCTGTGTTTGCAAGAGCGATTTTCTTCATTTTTTCTCAATTTATTCGCAACTGCGTTTTATGCTGTGATTTGGTGCTTTGTTTTAGGAAAGTGTACCTGTTTTATGCTGTGTTTGGGGCTTTATGTTTGAAAGTGTGCTTGTTTTGTGCAGTGATTTGGTGATTTGTTTTAGGAAGTGTACTTATTGCTGATGTAGTGAAAAACGTTTTGCCTTCTTTTGCAATCGGAATGGGGGAAAGGGGAAAGCGGTCTCGTTTGCATCAACTTGACGTTGCTAGAGAGAAACGATGGCACGGACGGCGAGAAGGCGGATGAGGGTTCCAGAGGGCCTAGTTCTATGAGTGCTACTGTACAGGAGCCATTAACGTCTTCATCGCCAACTCATTTGGACATTCCTCTTTCTACAAGACCGGTGTTTACTGAAGAGGACAGACCCGTCAGAGCTGTCAGTCGCACTGAGAAGAAATTAGATCTCAGCTCAAGTTTCTGTGAGGAGGAGGAGGAGGAGGAGGAGGAGCCAGTGGAGAGAGCGAGAACCATAGCAGATTTGAATTTCATGAACAATATTATGAAAGACTTGTGTTGTGGTGTGTGCACGATGAAAACATTGACAAGCTGAGTGAACAAAGACAAAAGTAAAGGATTTTCACTGTGTATGGAGATTTACTGCTCAACTTGTGATGAGGTGGTAAGTCAAGCCTTTACATCTGAAAGGGAACCAGCTGGCAGAGGACCCCGTGCCCACACAATTAACAAATCTGTGACAATGGCAGCAGTAATGGCAGGAATGGGGGCGGACAGTTTTAATCTGTTGTGTGAGCATAATATGGACTTGCATGGACTTCACAAAAAAACGTTCCTAAAGTATGTCGACAGTTTGTACTGTGAGTATAACAAAGTGAAGGAACAAATGTTCAAGCGAGTGGTGGATATTGTCCTTTCTGAACATGCCAAACTACAACGCAGGAACCTCTTGCCAGAGACTGTGCTTGACATCTGTGTGAGTTACGATGGTACATGGATGAAGAGGGGCCGCACATCACGTGTTGGAATTGGATGCGTGATAGATGTTCTTACAGGTTTTGTAATTGATGCAGAGCTCCTGTCTTCATATTGCCAAACGTGTGAGACAACTGGCAAGTGGTTGAAAGCTAATCAAGCCCAGCGGTACGACACATGGCTAGCCCAACACAACGCAGACTGCTGCATCAACTATCAGGGTACCTCAGGGAACATGGAGGTGGAAGCAGCTGTCATGGCACTCAAAATGCCAACGAAAGCCTTCATAGTGTCATATGGAGCAAATGTTCAAAGGCTAAGTTTGCCTCTTCCCAAAAAGTAAAGTTTTCTATGCTGGTGTCCATTGCTGAGTTCAACCACGGCCCAAAAGGTAGCAGTGTTGTGAGGAGGCTGTATGGACAGAAAGAGGGTACCAGTTCAGCTCGCTTGGTGACACAAAGGGCAGCAAAGCGGATTGCTAGCAGTTAAAAGTATGAGGAGGAGAAACTGTCAAAGAGAAGGTCTTTGAGGAAGATGGCAAGAACAAGAAGGGAGAGGGAGTTGGAAGAACTTGAGGGTGGTCCAAGCTATGCTGGTGGCTCATTTTAAATAGTTTTTTCAGGCTGGAAACATCATGACAACAAAAAGCAAGTTCATTTTGCAATAAAAGCTCATTATCTCAAAAAACAGTTTTTCTGCATTTGAAGTTACAAATCTCCTATGTGGTTTGTGGGACTTACTTCAAATTTACACCATGTGTTCACTAGCATCAAATACACATTTTGTCCCATTTATTTGTAAATATACTACAAACAATTTTAAAAACATTTTTTATGTTATGGAAGGGCATATAATTGCGTAATGTACATACACAAATTTCAAAAATTCGTAAAAATTAGAGCTATTCATTTATTGAAGAGAAAATGGGACAAAATGTGTCTGATGTTGATGAAAATATGTGTGCCAACTTTCATGACTCTTGCATGGATACCAAATGAAAAATGTTCCACTGAAATAGACTAAAAAATCCAAGATGGCGGCAGTTTTTACCCGTTTCCATGGCAACCAAAGCATTTTTCTAACATTGAAATGTATCACATGTGAAGAAAACCTCAGTGAAGTATGGTTATCACAAGTAAGTAGATGGGAAGTAACCCGTCTAGATTTTAGTTTTCACTGTAGACCTTCACCTTAAATAGTAAAACCAAATCTTGCAACAAACAAGCATGAAAGCGGCAAACTTGAGTCAGTGCGGATTCAAGAAAATTCGATCCACTTGGATCACCTGGTCCGCCTGGGGAGCTTTATACGCAAGACGTTTGCCAAATGAGGTCAAACGGTCGCCATCCTGCTTTGACCTACAAAAAACCTGCGACGCAACCATGAAGTACGGCATTCTTAGGGACCTGCATACTCTCAGCCTGTGCGGTCACCTTCATGCCTTCATTCGACATTTCTAAAAGAACTGTTCCTCCAGGTTCGTATCGGATCCTGCCTTTGAGATACCCATCCCCAGGGCAGCATCTTTCTCCTCTCCTCAGAGAAATTAAAATAGATTCCATCGTTTAGACCCTCCAAAACAGCATAGACAGCTCGTTATCCATTGACGACTTCCTGGCATGCTGCTGTTCCAGAAATCCTCAACTAGGATATATGGAAAGGCTGCTGCAAACGCAACTGCACAAACTTGAAAATTGGGCAAATAATAACGCTTTTTTTATTTGTCCTGTCAAAGACGGCTGTCGTGCACTCTGCCGATCAGCCAGACGTTTACTGCAAACGTATTTATCACTATACGGGGAAAGGATTCCCGTCCAGGATTAGGCTCGTTTTCTCGACATTGTATTTGACAAGAAACTTACAATCATCCAACACATAAAAAAACTTCGTGTGAGGTGCCAGAACGCATTAAACGCTTTAGAAATGTTATCGCATTCAGAGCAGGGCGGGGACTCAAAAAACCATCTCCACCTATACATTTCCCTTGCCCGATCCAGGCTTCACTACGGCTTTCAAATCTACCCATCGGCAAAACTCCACGTCCTAAAATGCTAGACCCAGTACAAAACCAAGGACTCCGCCTCGCCCTGGGAGCTTTCCGCATTTCTCCAGTGGAGAGCCTCTAGGCCGAGGCAAACATGTCATCAATAACACCCAGACGTACACAACTCTCTCTACAATGCGCAATTAAACAGAGTTCAACACCAGAGAACCCTCACACGACTGCATTTTCTGAACAAATCCAGAAACCATAAAAGCAAATTCAAAAACTAAGAAAAATTCATTAAACATTTCGCCTAAGAGTCATTGAGGACCTCAAAAAAACGTATACG